GTTGAATCTTTGGACATAGTCTGGAATACAAAGAAATCTTATAGCTACTCTGTTCCTCCTGGGAAAAAAAGGGCAGGGGACTACTTTTAATTGCCAGCTTATTCTGTTTACCCATCAACTTCATAACCCTGTGTCCTCATGTAGCAGTTAGGGCGGTTGGGCTCCAAGCCTCAGAAAACACCTACTTTTCTGGGTTAAACAATAAAGGAATTTATTTTACCTCTTATAACAAGACATACAGAACTGGGGTGACTCAACAGTATCTGCAAGTACATAGGAATAGACCTCTTCCTCCTTCCTTTATCCTCTGCCAACTTCAGCATATTAGCTTTCTCCTTGACCTAACTTACCTCGTGGTACAAAATAGCTGCATCAAATCCAGTCATAACTTCCTAATACAATAATGATTAGAGGGGAATGATACCTTCTCTTCCTTGGGCCTCTCTTTACAGTAGAGGAACATTACTCCTAAGAGCTCCTAGAAATCCCCACCACTTATGACAGGAATTGTTTCATATGACAAGGCTGGAGCCAGTCACTTCCACATGGATTGAGATGACCACCATTAGTTTAAAGCAGTTAGGATCTCACCGTGGAGCATAGGATGGACGGGTGCATGCGGAACAAATGAGATTTCTTTCAATAGAGGAAAATAAAGATTGAGGAGGAAACCAGCTATTCTTTTGTTGTAGAGGGAATTGCTTTATAGGGAATTTCAGGGAGTTAGAGTCACATAGATCCTGGGGCTGATAAAAACAGAAGCAGAATTTGAATACAGCTCTTTCAGACTCCAAAACCTATCCATATCCTTTCTGATGGGCAGCCAGACCCCTCATCAGGCTGCACTTCCCAGAAAATAAAAGCCCTGTTTCTCAGGGCGACTACTTTGGGGGTTGAGGCAATCTCCCTGCCTTCCTGAGCCCAACCTTGAGCTGAGCATTTAAGCTGTTTATTAAGTTATGACTAATGGTGCTGCGAGACACTGAAGGCTGTGCATTCAGACCTAGTTTTAGATTGTTAGAGGAGGTTCAGGGGGTAAACATCATATTTGTATTCTGTGCCGAGAAAATTCAATCGCGGCTCTTTGTTTTCCAAGTGCAGGGATTGGCACGGGGCTTCTGCTGGGCCCCGCTCTGGTTTAATAGAAACGAAACCTCCAAAGCAGGCAGGCTGTTTTGGCAAAGTGGCCACTAATAGGGCCCCATGAGGCGGGGACCAGGCCTGAACTGGGCAGTTTGCATATTCACTTTTACAAACAGTTGGCTCCGAGTCAGCAGTTAATGGAATGGGAATGATGTTCTTGTACCAAATCATTTCCTGAAAAAAAAAAAAAACATTTCCAATTGCAAACATATCTCAGCCTTTCTTCTTGGGTTTGCTGTGTCTGTGAGACTGAATTAAAGAGGCAGGGCGAGGCGGGGCTCTGGCTATGATTTTTTCATCTGAAGACATTCTTAATAATGATCTTCATGTAAAAGGAGATCCCATTAGACCCATCTTTAGGAGACCTGGCTGTGAATATTGCTTTTCTAGTCACACTTTCGAGATGTTTAATACCTGCATGTTTACAGACCGACTCTGGCTGCATAACAGTCTTGGGACAGATGCAGCTTTTCTTCCTTTGCAAAATGTAAGCTGGAAATGCTGCCCAGAAATATACACCCATATGTGCACACGCACACAGTGTAGGCTGAAATCTAGAGTGACTTTTTTTTTTCCTGGGGAAAGGGTGAAATACTTCTCATCCCATAAACTGCTTTGGCAAATTCTGCCTTCACACACAAGCAAGGGTGGGTGGTCTTGACACTTTTCATTATTTACCCAACAAATATTTCTTGAGTACCTACTATGCTTAAGTCATTATTTTAAGTAATAATAACAGCAGCATGTGTTTACATGGCTCTTACCAGGCACTCTTCTGAGTACACGTTAACTCATTTAATCTTCCCAGCAACCCAACAAGGTCGACAGTATTATTCTCCCTCCCATTTTGCAGATGAGGAAAGTGAGGCACAAGAGGCTGATGAACTTGGCCAAGGTCATAGAGCTAGTAAGGGGAAGGTCCTGGATATGAATCTTGCCTGGCTCCTAACCACTTTGTGACCTCTATGGAAATCTAATAGTGAACAGAAGAGAAAAAGTGCCAGTTCTTTCCCAGCTCACATTCTGCTGTGGGGAAAGTAGGTGACAGACGTGTCAATAATAATAATTTCAGACTGTAATGAGTTCTGTGAAGAAAATGAGACATGAGAGGGCAGGCGAGGGCTGATGAGGGGGTCTTGTAAGTCTTGGTAAAGAGTCGGGATTTATTCTGAGTGTGATGAAAAGCCACAGAAAAGTTCTCAGCAGGAGAAGGACACAATTCTATTTACATTTTTATAGAACATTCTAGCAGCTCTGGGACCAGTGGATGGGGATGGGGAGAATGCAAGAGGAAAGTAATGGGCTGGTTAGAAGGTGGTTCTGGTGATCCAGATGGAAGATAACTGCGGCTTGAACCTGGAGGGTGGTGGGGGAGATGGTGAGGAATGGCTGGAAACAGGTCCTCATTGGAAGGTGGAGCCTGGAAAACCTGCCAATGTATTAGAGACAACAGGTGAGCAACAGGAGAAGGTAAACAACAATGTCTTGGCTCCAGCCATTGTGTAAACCGTGGTGCCATCTACCAAAGAGTATTAAGTAGGGGAGGAACAGGCTGTTTGTGTGCTATATGGTGGTGTAAGGATGTTGGAAATTGCTAGTTTGGACGTGGATGTCTAAATTTGAGATCTCTGTTGAGACTAAGAAGAGACATGGAGTGAGCAATTAGGTTCCTAAGCCATGAGGGGGTCAGGCCTGGACTGGAGAAATATATATGGACATCCTCATCATTGCATAAGCATGATCCCCTAGGACCTCGCCATCCTGTTGAACTTCTGTGATATTGTAAACGTTCTTATCTATGCTGTCCAGGAGAGTAGCACCAACCATGTGTGGACTCTTGAGCACTTAAAATGGGGTGGGTACATCTGGGCATGGTGGCACACACCTGTAATCCCAGTGGCTTGGGAGACTAAGGCAGGAAGATTGTGAGTTCAAAGCCAGCCTCAGCAACTTAGGCCCTAAGCAACTTAGTGAGATCCTGTAAATAAATATTTTAAAAAGGGCTGGGATATGACTTAATGGTTGAGTACCCTTGGGTTTAATCCCCGGTACCAAAAACCAAACAAACAACAAAAAAAGAAGGGGTATGGTACAGCTAAGAAACTGAATATTTACTTCATTGAAATTTAAGAAGAATAATCTGAGGATGTGGCTCAGTGATAAAGTGCTTGGCTAGCATGCACAAGGCCCTGGGTTTCATCCTCAGCAATGCAAAAAAGAACCTTAAGTAGCACACGTGGTTAGTGAGTGTACTGTGTAAGACAGTGAAGACCGAGGGGAGAGGGTAGCTAGAGGAGAGAAGGTCCAGAGAAGCCTCAGGTTCCTTCGCAGCCAGCCCTTGCCGCTATATTTAAACGTGACTTTACTGCCACTGCCCGTCACGTGCCTGGCAATGCCTGTCCAGTGATGAAAGCTGTGCTTCTCTGTGAGAAAGAGCCTGGAGAAGAGCACAAACTGCTAGATCTAGAGGTGTTAGAAGAAATTAGAGACGTCTACGGAAGCAGTTGTACTTAGCCAAAAAACAAATGAAATCCTATATTTCCAGAATCATTGAAGCTTTAAATACAGGTGTCACCTGTATTTTTTATGCCGGGTATTGAGGAGGAGTCCGGAATGATGAGAGTCTAGAACTTGGGGAGTCAAAGACAGTGACCGGGGAAAGTCCCATGTCAACCTCAAGGGCCCACGTTGAGGGGCTAAACACCAGCTTCCTAATGTGAGTGTCCCTTTTAAGGTAGGGTCTGTTTTACTCTCTTTGCTGGGGGCTCATTCCCTGTCCAGCTGCAGCCATCAGTGAGTTTGCTGATGTGAAAGGACTCTTTGTAAAGGGCTGCCTTGTGCTTAAGCATTCTTACAAGTCTATGCTGGCAATCAGGGAGACCAGAGTCAATAAAAAAAATAAAATGGAAAGATGGGCTGCGGCTTTCATTAAGGTTGATGGCAGCGGCCGAATTAGCTCCTTAAGAACCTCTTGGTGCCCAAAGCCTTCAGAGAAAATGGTCTTTCTGTGCTTAATTGGCACAAAGTAAGGGATGTAAGTCACAGCGTTTGAGGGGGAGAGGGTAATCCAAGGTCAGCACTCAGCAAATGCTCATTGCACGATGGGTTTGGTGGTGGGAATTGGGTTTTTTGCCCAGGCTCCATAGTATGTCGTTAGTGGTCACTGACCCTTGTTAATGTTTCTTGAAGGAAATGGAATTGTAGATTTCTAGGATGGGAAGTCTAAAAAGAACTTCCTGGTGAGTGTGGCACTCTTCTTTTCTGGCTGAGGAGACAGGGTTAGACAAATGGGGTGTCCCACCCTTCCTCAGAGCTGAGAGCCAGAGCCCAGGGAGGAGGCTGGAACTGGGACCATCCTGCTCAGCCTCTGGGTTTGGTGCAGGGTATGAGCAGAAGAATGTCCTAGGGAAACCAGGCCAGGAGAGAGGCCCAGAGGGTGGAACTGAAGATGGAAAGGCTCACAATATAAATGTAGCCTGAAATTGGTGACCGTGGTCACCAGCCAGCAATTCCTAGCACCCACTATGCCCCTGACAGCAAGCCCTGGATAGAGGGCAGGCAGCAAAAGGCAGAGACCTAAGAAGACCTGTTTCTCCTGAAATCTTTTCTGAGAGGTAGGGAGACCTTCTTAGGTCTCAGGAAAGTGAAGGAGGTGACAGACAGAAGAAGGGAGAATAAGAGGATAATTAGGTTCTTTTAGCAGGGAGCAACCATGAATGGCTCACATGCTGAGTGACAGCTGCCATCTAAACTTAGTGGATTTTCCCCCTCAATATCAACATCACACATGAATTGCAGAGATCAACCCACCCCCGACCATCAGCTGGAATGTGACCAGGCTCTTTTTTGTCTTCCAGTGTCGGAGCTTCAGGAGGAGGGAATGAACGCCATCAACCTGCCTCTCAGCCCCATTCCCTTTGAACTGGACCCTGAGGACACCATGCTGGGTAACCTGCCTCTCTTGTCTCTTTGGAGGAGCTTTGTGCCCTCAACTGTAGCCACCCCGACTCAATTCCTTTTCTTTTTATAGAGGAGAATGAAGTGCGGACAATGGTGGATCCAAACTCACGCAGTGACCCCAAACTTCAGGAACTGATGAAGGTAAGAAGGAATTAGGAGGGGCTTTAGGGGCCTCCCAGACTCAACTGGTATCTACAGACCACCGGTTCCATGCAGGGTGAGCTTCTTGGGGTTAGAGGCTCCATTTTTCCCCATCATTGTACCCCGAGGATCTAGCACTGGATGGACGGAAGGGATCTCTAAAGTAGCCAGGCTGTTCAGAAATAGAATCAGGAATGTTATTCCCATGGTTGTGGCTTCATTAGTGGAACAAGACCACATGAGATTTGGGTCATGTCATGAGATACTAAAGGACTAAGGACAATGTTTTCAAGGGAGATATATAAATATCTCTTCTGTCTGTTTCTTACCTAAGTCTGTGCCTTACCCCAGAGTCCAGGGAATTAACAGAAATAAGGTAGCCTGGGCTGGGCCCATACAACCCCTTACATCCTGGGCTGTAATCAGCCCCATGGGTGGCCTGGATGTGAATGTTGGGTGTCTGACCCTTTCTTGCTAGCATCTGTGCTGCACCCATGGATGGCTACCCAGTAGGACCTGGAACCCTTGTGCTGTGCAGGGAAAAGGTGGAACAGCTGCAGGTTGAGGTTTTGCCTGTCACTGAGCCTCTCCAAGGTGCTGGGCCTGTGTGGGCAAAGGTACTGGAGAATGTCTGGCTCTGATCTGTTTCTGCCAGAGGCTACTGACCATGCTGGCACGGGCAAAGCTGCTGCTTGCCCCGGAGACTTCCAAGAGGGCAGATGTGGTCAGAATGGGCTCTGAATGGTTCAGGCTTCAGCACTGATCCCAGAACTGGATCTGGGCTCAGTTTGAGGGAGAGGAAGATTGGAGATGCACGTTTGCTGCACATAAGACCTGAATCAGGGGGTACTATACTGTTGACCTGGGGCCACTTTCTTGCTTCCAGGAAGAGGTTTGATTTTCCTAGATCTAGACACTTTGCTCACCTTGAAATTCTAGTTTTCTCTTAAGAATGTCCTCAAACACCAGCCTTTCTAGAATCCTCCTCCCATTCCTGCTTCTATCCCCAGCCCTGGTGGGGCTCCTGTACTCACCGATGGCACCACAGACTCCCCTCCTCCTGGATCACAGCCTTTTATGTTATAATCATTTGGTTGACTAGTTCCCTGCTCTCTTGAACAGATTGGGTTTTATGGTATTGGATATAGGCTATGCCTGGTCCATATGAGGTGCTCAGTAATTACCATCATCCTTCCTTGAGACAAAACGATGCACTATGAAGCCACCAAGCTCCATCACAGCACTTAGGGTGATGGAGCTATTCTTCATCTTGGCTGTGGTGGGGGGTCACTCAACCGTGTACAATGACCAAAATTTATCCCTATATCCTTAAAACTGGTAATCCATCATTATGTATGATCCACTCCTGTCTCCACCCCATGAGCTCTGTGACCTGGGCAAATCTGCTTCCTTCCATGCTGATTAAGCCTCCTGGGCACAGAGATGAAGGAATTGCCTAACCCACTGTTGCCGCAGTCTGGCTGGGCACAAATGCCGCAGTCTGGCTGGGCACACAATCACGAGCCACCACACAGCTTGTAGATTCAAACAGCAACTCTTTATTCCCGAACTCACCAGCCGTCTACAATCACGTTCTGGGGAAATCCACGTTCTCTTCCCAAATCCACCTTCTCTCCCAAATTCACACTCACTGGGCTTCTATCTCCAAAATATACTGTCTGAATCCCGTGAGAACTCAAGGGGAACTCAGGCAGCAGGATACGCCCTATTCCCAGCAGGAATAATCTTAAACCTTAAACCTGGAACCTAAACTGGGAACTCCCTAAACAAGATTATCTTAAAACCGGGAACACCCTAATCTGCCTTGGTCCTTGAGCAAGGTCACTTACATTCAATGTCACTGCAACATGTCAGCAACATGGGGTACGCTGGCAAGGAAATTGTCATACCTACTTGGCTAATGGCTCCCAGCATCTCCCCCCTTCTGATTAATTAAACAACAAGCAATGTGGCTTAAGGACCGTGCCTGGTAGGTTGTCCAATTCAACATATGGTTCTTACCCGTCATCGGAAAACTGACCTTTAGGCGTCAGCCTCCTGTCTTAGGTTGATACCACTGCAATTGGATCATACCCGTCACTGACTACCGGTCCAGCATACAGCCATACTTGTGGATAGGTCTATGCACCAGTGGGGGGGGTGAGGTTCTTTGCCTCACCTCTGTTGGCCCCCAAATTTGGCCTTGGTGCCAGTGGGGGAGTGAGGTTAATGTGGCTTATGGACCGTGCCTGGTAGGTTGTCCAATTCAACATATGGTTCTTACCCGTCATCGGAAAACTGACCTTTAGGCGTCAGCCTCCTGTCTTAGGTTGATACCACTGCAATTGGATCATACCCGTCACTGACTACCGGTCCAGCATAAGCCATTGGCCCCCAAATTTTAGACCATCACTAGCAGAAGGGAGGAGGATACAGAAATGCCACGACACCAAGCCAATTGACGGCTCCTTGGGAAAAATTGCATCACTGGTGACACCATCAGCAAAGATATGTCAGCACTACCACAATTAACATGGGGTGCGCTGGCAAGGAAATAAAAATTGCATCACTAGTGACACCATCAAACGATAGTTACATAGTCCAGGCAAGTTCTGCAAGCAGTTCAAAGCAGAGGAATCTATCAATATGTCCATTTCCTCCCAAAATCCGTTTCCTCCCAAAGTAAGTTGACTCTTTGATTGAGCATTACTTGTTGAGTTCTTCACCAGCACTGAGATGGAGATAGGAATTCTGGCAATGATGCTAAAGAGACATTATCCTGAAAAGAATTATTAAATATAATGAAAAGGAAAGGTGAAAGTAAACAAACAGATCTGTTAACCTACTTTAGAAACAATCCTTAACAGCTTTTTACCTAATTTAAGTTAGTAAACAAACAGATCTGTTAACCACCTTTAAAAACAATCCTTAACAGCTGTTTACCTAATTTAAATTAAACCATTTAAATCACGTGAATAAAAAAAATAATAATAATTCGGATCCATTTTTTCATGAGCGCTCCTCATACAAGAAATATGGACATACGCACATGCAGACATACAACACAAAACACAAGAGTGTACACAAACGTACAACACATAAGAAAATAGTAAAGGCCTTGTAGCTTTACCTGGGTGAAATCTCCATTGCAATGTTTAAAAACTCCACAGTCAAAAAATAAAACTGATCAGAAAAACATTAACCTAGGTTTGTATGAGCTCAAAAAATAAAAATAGAACCTTATGATGTGGAAAAATGCAATAATAAAATAGCTATTGAAAAAAGCATCCTGGTTAATCACTGTCGCAGATGTAAGAATGGCCAAGCTGGAGTTCTGGATATCAACTGTTATGGATTTGAGTCAAATCATCTTCTTTTCGATCTGTAGAAACTGTTTTAGTTAATCTCTCTGGAATCCAAATGGGCTGCTGTTCTCCCTGTGGAAAAACACAAACAAAACCCCGACTCCAGACAATCACTGGGTCAGGACCTTTCCATTGTCCTGTTAGAATATCTTTCCAAAGTACCTTAGGCTTATGTACATTTTTTGGATACATATGTCTTTCCGCAGCACTAAGTCCTTATGAATCCAAATTTAAAAAGTTTAGTGTAAAAAGCGTTATTTTAAGTTTATCTTTGGGGAATATATACCCCCTTCCGATTCCCTCTTTTTGTTTTAATAAGTATGTCTGTATCTAATAGTTGTCTTAGCTTTTTGCATTTTCTATCTGTGTAATACCTTACTTGACATTTTCAACCATTTTCTATCTTATTTCTATCTTCTAGTTTTTTTCCCTAAGGTTTGTATTTTTACCCTTAGTTGCTTATTTTCCTCCTAGTTTTTTTTTTTTCCTATTTTGTGGGTATAAAATTCTTGTCTTCCTACATTTTTTTTATCTTTCTACATCTTCTTTATCTTTATTCTTTTTAACTTTCTATACTTCTGTCTTTAAAGTTTTTCACTTCAAATTTTTAATCTATCTTTCTACATCTTTTCTCTTTTTTTACCTTTCTGTACTTCTGTCTTTAAAGTTTTTCACTTTAAATTTTTAATCTTCTTTATCTAAATCTTTTATCCTATTATCTTCCCATTTTTTTTAAGTAATGCCTTTAAGATTAATTAGGCTTCGAATGATGCAATAAAGCAATCTTTTTTCCGCCATGAAGGTATCTCGACCACCTTCAATTTAACCTTTTAAAGCCTTTTAATTATCATCTATACTGTACTTTTAAATGTACTTTTTCACCACCTACAACTTCACTCTTTTAAACGAGGCTTAGATTCTGATTAAATCGCTTTAATGTTAGTTTACATGGCTGCCTTTCAACCAAAGGCTTTTTTTTTTTAACTCCATTGAGAAGCTTTGTCTCAATCTGCCATGTACAAATATCTTTTTCTTCTTTCTTCCTTTCTCAAGCTTTTAAATTAAGTCTAGTTTCCTCAAATTCTTTTTAAATGTCATTTTACAACTTTTTACTTTACCACACAGATTATATCATCTAGAATCATTTCTTTTTCCTTTAACCTTTTATATTAATATATATTCCCACATCTTGAATCTTTTTATCTCTTTTTTAACTGTTAACCCTTCTTATAAATTTACATTCTGAAACAACTCTTATAAAATTTCTGATTTAGACAAATTACTCCACTTTAATAAGATGAAAGACTTTCATGTTTTTTTTATGATACTATAATACTATAATTGAAACCCAACTGAAACTTCTTATACTCTTTGTATATAAATTACACATGATAGAATCTTAACTCTTAGTAACCTTGTTTTAGCAAAGACACAGACCAAAGCAATATTAAACCTTTTTTCCATTCACCAATTTATGAAAACACACATGCTTAAATATATTACCTTATGTAACTTAATAAGTAAAGAGTGGTTGATGTTTCAACATTTTAGCTTTGTAAATTAATCAGAACTTTGTAGAAACCAAGATCTTAGACAAGTGTAGCAAACAGAACTAGCCATCTCTTTCTTGTTGAAGAAAAATCCTTCTACAGGATACCATGGTGGTCCCATTGATATACTTAATAACTCGTCTTTAAAAAGCCATGTGCTACATTTTTGTATTGTATCAACATATGTCCTAACTGTTCTTGGTCTTACTGGGGTGCCTCTTTCCTCTAACAATTTCTCTTCCTCGGGGGTGAACAACTTCAAACTTTGAGCCAACCATTTTCCCCAGTTTGCCTGAGAAAGTTCTAGGAACAGGCAACTTGAAATAAAAACAAAATAAATCAAAACAATAACACATTGTTTTTTGAAATGTTCACCCATTCTTTCTCTCTTCCTCAAGGGTGAGAAATTTCACTTACCTCTAAGCTTCAGAAGTTCCCCGCACGGGCCGCCAAATGCCGCAGTCTGGCTGGGCACAAATGCCGCAGTCTGGCTGGGCACACAATCACGAGCCACCACACAGCTTGTAGATTCAAACAGCAACTCTTTATTCCCGAACTCACCAGCCGTCTACAATCACGTTCTGGGGAAATCCACGTTCTCTTCCCAAATCCACCTTCTCTCCCAAATTCACACTCACTGGGCTTCTATCTCCAAAATATACTGTCTGAATCCCGTGAGAACTCAAGGGGAACTCAGGCAGCAGGATACGCCCTATTCCCAGCAGGAATAATCTTAAACCTTAAACCTGGAACCTAAACTGGGAACTCCCTAAACAAGATTATCTTAAAACCGGGAACACCCTAATCTGCCTTGGTCCTTGAGCAAGGTCACTTACATTCAATGTCACTGCAACATGTCAGCAACATGGGGTACGCTGGCAAGGAAATTGTCATACCTACTTGGCTAATGGCTCCCAGCACACTGTCATTGGGAGAGTGCTTATACATTAGTAAGATCTGCTTTTAATCAAGTATTCAACCCTTGTCATAAGTCATTCTTTTCCACCACCTGACCTACAAGATACTTTCATTCTCAGTTTTAGAGATAGAAAACCAGAGGCTCAGAGAAGACCACCAGCTTGCTGCAGATTCATAGATCATGCAGATGCACACACAAGTTCCCAAATGATGGTGTGCACCTGTGCCATGAAGGAGCAGATACCTGTGCACATGTTCACCAATGTCAGAGGAACACAAGCCTGTACACATACACACACCTGTAGATGACAGTGGTACCCAAGCCAGTTAGTGGGTAGAGCTGGGGTTTGCATAACTCCAGAGCCCATGCTTGTGCCTGGCATGAAGCCCCCACTGTGAGAGTGTTGCTGGCCTTTACAGAAGGAAGAAGAGATCAGCAGGGACATTGGCGCTGTCATCCCCAGAAAGCTGACACGGGAAAAACCCCAGGGGCTCCCACCCACACCTGCCTGTCTGCACAGGTAGATACTTCTGCTTTTAAAATCTGAAGTTCATTTAAAATCTGAAGTTCATTTAGATTTTAATTGCCCAGGATAAGAAAGCTGATCTACAAGAAAATACCCCATGACTTTTCTCTTATTCTTGCTATTTCTCTGTAGGTATTAATTGACTGGATTAATGATGTGTTGGTTGGAGAAAGAATCATTGTGAAAGACCTGGCTGAAGATTTGTATGATGGACAAGTCCTGCAGAAGCTCTTTGGTAGGAGGAGAGCTGAGTGTTGCTTTGGGTGACTGTGGAGTCACAGAGATGGGCTTTGAATGCGTAGAGCGAAATGAGGACTTTAGATGTTCTCGTGGGTGTTTGTGTTTTTAGACCTTTGTCATCCATAGACCCACTCTTTTGTGTGTCCCTCTGTCATCTACAGAAGTGTGCATGCATGTCCCCTTGTTGTCTGTGAACCTGTATAGGGGTGTGTGTGTGTCTCTTTGTCATCCACAGACAAGAACGTATCCCTCTGTCATCTAGAATAGTGTGCATGTGTGGTTGTCTGTGCACCTGTATGTTTGCATTTCTCTGTGTGTCCCTCTCTGGGCTAGGTGCCAGTGTGTGTGACTGTGTCCCTGTGCTGTTTGGGCCTACATGTGTTGTCCTCTGTCATCTCATGGCTATTGATATGAAAATCTAAGACCAAAGGGGAAGGAAAGAGGAATTCAGGGAGATCTTAGGGTAGAAAGAACAAATTCAACTTGAATGGAGGTGGGGCCCCCTCACCATTCCTCCTTTTACCTCCAGCCCAAACCTTCCCTCTCCAGTTCAACACTTCAATACTTAGCTGCCCTCTAGCCCTTTCTACCTTAAGCTGAGTCCATCCACTTTCCCAAAGATGCTTCTAACTCTCTGAGTGAGCAGAATTCCTTCCTCTCCTCCTTCCCAGTCTTCCCCCATGTACAAGAATCGCCAGGGCCATTTCTTCTTGCTCAAAAGCCTCCTGAACCCATCTTCTCACCGTTTTTACATGGTTGATTTGCTCTGAACTATTGAAAAAGCTTCCAGACTCATGTCTTCACCTCCCAGATCACCTTCTCCAGGTCCTTGCCCACACAGGTAGCCGAGGCCCCTTCCTAGATCACAGCTCTGATCTCACTGAGAACTCTCAGTGCCTGTGTCTCCTGCCAGAATACGTCCAGATCCCCTCGCCCCACGCTCAGAACCTATCACGCCCCAGCCATCTTTGCAGCCTCACTTCTGGCCAATCCCACACATATGGCTCCCGCAACGTGGCAATTTGCATAAAGTTCTCAGAAGAATGCCTGACACCTAGCAAGTGCCCGATGAGTGCCTGTCACCATTGTTGGTTTTACTGTTTCTATGTTCACCCTTGCTTCATTATCACGTATGTCATGCATAGTCGCACCCTGATACATTTTCCCATGCTCTTCTTTCTGCCTGAGGCCCTTCTTCTTCCTTTATTTACCAGCAAACCACCATTGCTCATCCTTCTTATCTCATGTACCTTCCTTTTATGTCCTGTAATAATATGGTCACATCTAAGAGAAATAGTCATGTACTTTTCTGTGTTCATCCCCCACATGTACAGGAAGGAATGTATAAATACATACACATGTGTATTTATGTACATGTGTATATACTGCAGGTTGAGCATCCTCAATCCAAAAATTGAAATGCTCCAAAATCCAAAAATTTTTGAGTACCAGCACAAGTGGGAAATTCCATACTTGACCCTATGTGATAAGTCATGGTCAAAATACAGGTGCACTAAAATATGGTATAAAACTACCCTTCAGGTTTTGGATAAGCACCACAAATGTATATGAACCATAAATGAATTTTATGTTTAGACTTGAGTCCCATCCCCATCTCCTTATGCAAATATTCCAAAACCTGCAAAATATCTCAAATCTGAAACACTTCTGGTCCCAGGTGTTTTGGATAAGGGATACTGAACTTCTATAAATATGTATCTGAATGTGTACACGTGTTTGTGTATATAGACTGTATATATCCATGCCTTGTTATAAGACTTTCCACATTGTCTGTAGCCATTGATAGAAATGTATATGGGCCTCTTAAGGCCATTTCTTCTTTATTTATTCAGGCTTCTCCAGAACTCTCAGGTTGCCTAGCACTTAATCAGTGTAATTCAATGTGTATTGAATGAATGAATGAATGGCTAATATAAAATCTAGTAATTTCTAGGAAGCTAAACAGATTTGGTACTCAAACATCAATATTAATGAGTGTTAATATCTAAGGATTGTAAACTCCTACTGAATGCAGAATGGAAATGAAAAAGCTTTGGCACATGTAGACATGGGGAAGCTGGGAGCCTCACTGAACATCTCTCCCAGTGACTGCAGCTGCTAACCCCTCCAGCAAGTTTCTAATCAGGATCTGAAACTGGCTTGAAATGTTCTGTGTTAGGCTTTCAAAGCAAGGATGCAGCATGGCCACAGAGTAATGGGACGTCATCATGAGTAATCTTGCCTCCAGGAAGGGTTACAGAGCCGTCCAGCGTCACGTCCGTGCAGCCCCAAGTCAGGGATCACATCCAGATTGGATCCAGATTCCTACTCTTGTGTCAAGAAGGGGGTTGGCTACAGTGGTCATTCTTCTTCTGTAAACTTCAGTTTAGACCTACATGGGTCTAAGTCTGGACATACACATTCCAAACCTCACATCCTGGTGGAGAGAACCAGTTCACAGTAAGAAAGTAGGTATGTATCAGGAACTGATCAGGAATTGATCTGAAGACAGAGTTGTCAGGGACCCCTATGACCTTGGGTTCCCCTCTGGCTATTTTTCTAACTCCCTTCTTCACCAGCCAAGTTTCTCAGAAGAGCATCTTGTACTCCCTCTGCCTCCCCATTGCTACCCAGCCCCTTCCTCAGTAGAGCTGGCCGACTCCCCATCTTTCCATCGACTTTTCCTGCCAAGATCATCAGTGCCAATTCAGACACCCTCCTCTGCTGGCATTTGACTGAACATCTCATCCCTTCCCCTGTGCCCTCACACCTTCATGGTTCTTGTCTACCTCTGATACCTTCTTTACCATCTTCATGTGCTCTTCCTTGTTAGTCATGGTTGGGTTTCTTGGTCTTCCATCTTGGCACTTTTTTTCTTTCAAATCCACTTCCTGGGCGATTCCACCTACTCTCACTGTTGCCACCATCACCTCTACCGTAATTGCTCTCAGGTCTGTATCTCCAGAACAATAATCTCCTTGAAGCTGTTGAGGTTGTTTTCTGTCTTCTAGACAATCTCACCCGGATGCCCCACAGCTAGTTTGCAATCAACCTGCCCCAAACTGAGCTGCTTGTCTTCCTCCTCCCCACAAATCCATTCTGTTTTCCACTTTGATGAATGGTATTACCGCAACACAGCCAGTTGCTCAAATGGGAAACTTAGGAGTCATCCTGGATTGCTTCTTCCCCTGTGTCCCTGACAACTGTATTCCCATATACAGTGCATCAAGCCCATCCCTTGTCTCAGTTTGTATGCAGAGCCCTTAGGAAAGTGCCTGCCATGCTAGTAGTTAGCTCTCACTTATTCTCCAGCTCCACTATGGCTACCTTCGAGCAGAACCTCTCATTTTTCTTAGCTTCTTTGGTTGCAAAATCCTTTTTGTGTATCACACTGTTTCCTCCCTTTGTAACTCTATCTTCCAAATCTTACTTATATTTCACGAATTATCTTAATACTTAAATTCATAGGACGCTTGTCACTTTGTTTAGTTCAAAATCTGATGAAAACAATTTTAGGCCTAGATTTGCAAATGTAGTAAAGAATTCCCATATGCTCTTCTCCCAAGTTCCCCTAATGTTCAGGTCCCATCATACTAATATCAAAATTAAGAAATAAACCTTAGAACCATACTCAACTAAATTACAGACTCCACCAGTTTTTCATGTGAGATCCTTTTAGTTCTAGGATCAAATCCAGATTCCTACATTGTTGTAAGTGTCAAATCTCCTTCGCTCCCTTCAGTCCACAGCAGTTTCTCAGTCTCCCATGTCTTTCATGACTTTGGCACTTTCAAAGAGTACTGGTCAGTTACTTTGTAGAATGGCACCCAATTTAGATTTTTCTGATACCCAGAGCCTCATGTGTGCTAGGCAAGAGCTCTACCGAGCCACATCCCCAGCCCTCATCTGATATTTTCTCATGATTAGATTGACATTATGCATTTGAGGAGGAATGCCACAGAATGAGGAGCCTTCTTAGTGCATCATGTCAGGGAGAACGTGATGTGGATATGACTTATCACAATGTTCAATCACATGGTTATGGTGTTATCTGCCACAGTTCATCACTATAAAGTTACTGTTTTAAATAATTAATTCATCTGAGGAGAGATACTTTGAGATCATGCAGTATAACCTGTTTCTTCTTAAACTTCTCCCACTAATCTGAGCATCCTTTGGTGCAGCGTGTCTGCTGCAGTTATTACATGGTGTTCTAATTGTGATTTCTTTCTTTTCCTTGTTTCTTCCAAATTTATTAATTGGAATTCTTCTCTAAGGAATTCCATTTATTTAATTTTTTTAGCTACTTAATTATATCAAGATAGACATAAAGATATTTTATACTTTGGATTATAATTTAATACTATCATTATTTACTTTTTCTGGGGCAGGGAGGTACCAGAGATTGAACCCAGGGTTGCCTAACCACGGAGCCACATCCCCAGCCCTTTTTTTATTTGTTTATTTATTCTTAAGACAGGGTCTTGCTAAATTGCTTTGGACTTCGGCAAGTTGTTGAGGCTGTCTTTTTCTCTTGCCTCAGCCTCCCAAGTTGCTGAGAGCAACTTAGTGAGATCCTGTCACAAATATAAAAGGGGCTGAGGGTGTGGCACAGTGGTAAAGTGCACCTCATTAATACAAAAAAAAAAAAAAAAAGGAAGGAATTCAGTTTCCAATGTCCTGGGGCTTGAGTGTCCTCTATACCGAGTTGGTTGGGCATGAAAACTAGGAGGGACTAGAGTGTGAGATTATTAAACTATGAAACACCAGCCCTTGGAAGATAATGGGAGTGGCCTAGGGGCTAGGGTAGTCCAGGAGCACATACACCTCAGACATTAGGACAGGGTAGGTGGTTCGGGAAGCCATATTGGCGACATCATGGAGTGAAGGCTTGGGGCCTAAAAATGAGCAGGGGGTTGAGAGTGCTCAGTGTGTTGGTAAAGTCTGGACAGGCTTGCACCCTGGAGACGGTGCCTGGATTCTGCTCACCAGGAG